TTTAAAATTTATTTTATATTATTTTATTAAAAATATTTAAATAATTTTATAAAATAAATTACATACAATCTATTTTAAAAAATAATTTTTTGAATTAATTAACTAATAATAGCTTTAAAATTAAGTAGTTTCTTTCTTCTTTTGAATGTTTCTCTGAAGAGGACCTGATGGGACCATCATGCCACGATAGAGAGTTACAAACCTGATACATCCCGATCAAAACCTATTGATATTTTTTTTGAATTCTTCTGGTCCCCTTTTTCTTTTCTTTTCTTTTCTTTTCTTTTCTTTTTTCTTTCTGCCGGAAGTTCTCTATTTTTTTTTTTTAAAACAGGGGAAAATTTAGGAAAAATGATGAGAGGCTGCTATTACAATTTGAATTTTGATTAAAACTAAGACTTAAGTGCACCGAACCAACGGAATCTGTGGGTGCGCCAGAAGTTCTCTGCTTATTTTTATTTTTTAAATTTAAATGTATAACAAACACCCAACTTGAGGGGCTCCAGCTATTAATCAACGCAGTTCATTTTGGTTACAACTAACCTATTTTCATTTCTTCTTTTCTCTTTTTTTCTTTAATATAGAATTATACCATATATTCACTTTGTTTATAGCTACCCCGGCCCTCTGTTTTGTAGTATGTCAGGACAAATTTCCCCTCTTTTATCCGTGTGTTCTGATATACATCAGGGATAGATCATTAGCCTCTGACATTGAACAAATTCAATTTCCACCTCCTTTCTTTCTTTCTTTCTTTCTCTCTCTTTCTTTTCGGGTCTCCATAGATTGTGGATGCAGCGCTACAAACATGAAAGAGAGAGAATTGTCTAGTTCTCAAGTTTGAAGCTTTTTCTGTTTCTTCTGTTCAAAAATGGAACCAAGAATTCAGTTGCTTTTTCTTCTGATTGTTTTCATCCAACTTTACATCGTAGCCGCGGTTACTAATAGTGGTGATGGTAAGTTTGCTTCTTATTATTATTGTTTAACAAAACTTTTGTTGATTTGGGAAATAAAAGATTTCTTCTGCAGACGTTTCTCTTTATCAGCTTCATTTGGGGGAAAGGAAACCAAATCAAACCACGAGTCAATTAATACTGACTATCAGAAGCTTCTTAATTAAATGATGATTATAGACATGATCTTCATTTCTAGATTGCTCATTATTACCCTTGCAATTTATTAAAGTGGTTATTGTGGGCTGCTAGCTGCAACTAGAAATAGCAGCTGATCTACAAAGTTTGCTTCTAAATTCTCAGATTCTTTCTGGTACATACATATATAAAAACAAAAAAAAAAGTTCGTTGGGTCTTAATTCTTCAATGCTTGTGGCGTTTAAATAGTTTGGCAATTAAATCTCTTTCAAATTGTGAAGGTTTAAACTCCTTTTAGTTAGGACTCAATTTTATTTCAAATCATTGGGAAATCAGACTCCAAAATTCATACTCCCTTTTCGAGTGAAACTACATTTATTTTTGATTCTGGTGTAGCTGCTGCTCTAACTTCTCTCAAGGATGTGTGCAAGAACTTACCCCCCAATTGGTTGAGATCAGATCCTTGTGGTGATGGCTGGGTAGGAATTGGGTGCACCAATTCACGAGTCACCACGATGTAGGTTCTTAGTTAATTTCCACCTCTTGGATGAACGCTTATTCTTTCTCTTCAAGCTTCTGAGGATTGACCTGTCTTCCCTCTGTTGCAGAACATTGGCAAACATGGGCTTGGAAGGGCAAGTGTTTAGTGACATTCCATCCTTAACTGAATTACAGACTTTGTAGGTCCTCTATCTGAAATTCACATGGGAATCATTTCAAAACTAACTTGTTCATTCTCCTCCATTTAAGACAATAATCATTTATGTGATTGTGCTGCTCAGATTTCTAAAGATTCATTTACATCTAAGGCTTAAGTGAAACATATTGTCTTGAGGCATTATATACAAAAAGTTTAGTGGTGATTATAATAGAGAACACGAGGAACATGATAGTTTTCTGTTTTGTCAGCTAAATATGCCTCCCTATCTTTTCCATTACTTGGTGAGGGATGTTATAATATATACATATTGATATATCTTTATGCAGGGATCTATCTTACAACAAGGGCCTGACAGGATCTCTTCCAGCATCAATTGGGAATTT